TCTCTTCCATTTGTGGATGAACAGGGTTATTTGCCTGTAAGCTCCTCCTTGAAGTATTTAAGACAGCTGAGAAGGCTAAAATTTTAAAACTAGGGTCTTTTATGGGAACCTGGGATATCTTATCAGAGTGCGTCTTCCTGACCTAGATTTTTTGAGCCTTGCATTTGCTAGCGAAACAGCTTCCTTGACTTGCTGTGTCTGATTCAAGTCCCCTCAACAGAATGCAACAGTAAATGGAGGAAGTGGAAATAAAGTGGGAAGCAGAAGGACCATTCTCCATCACTAGTTAGTCTTCAGCAGGTAAAGTTCTTCAGCTTTTTTCCGTATCTGCTGGCACCGTTCCAGGGTAACAGGCGTGGCTGAGGGTAGAGGGTGTATATTCATCCAGTGACTTGTTACTTACAAATTGCATATAAAATACACAAATACAGAGAACTGTGGAGTCTGGGGAAACTGTTTCTGAGTAAAACCCATAGCCGTAAATTTTATTTCAATTAATCAACAATTTACTTTGCTCATCAAGCAAGAGCATTGTAGAACATACTCCACTCATATCTTGTTGGATCTTCAGAATGGGTTAAGGACGCACGAAAACTCCTGGGAGTCCAGTAGGAGTTGCTGATTGTGCCGGACATTGCTTGCAAAGCAATTTTTGCGGTTCACCTCCCTCCGGGTTTTCTCATTCTTTTGTGGCAAGTTCATGGAGCTGGCCTAGGGATTTGCTTTTTAAAGTTTTTACATCCCAAACCCCGCTCCCGGGTTGCGGCATCCTTCACCGAATCAAGACTTGGATTACCTCCAGGTCTGGGGGTGTGTGTTACTTTAATCCCACAAAATCGACCTTGCCCTGGGAATTTCCTGTGGCCATTTCGCGTGGACAGGCCCCCTTCCTCCGGCTGGCAGCACAGACACCCACCACCACGGGCTTTCGCAAAGCCAGAGCACTGCCGGGGAGGGGAGCACCCCGCCGCCCACTAGCAGCCCCGAGAGAGACCCGCGCAGCCGCCCTCGCTCCCCCTCCTCAGGTCCCGCTGCTGAGAGCCCGGATGTTGGATTCAATCCCTGCGCCGGGTCCTTCATTTCCATAAAAGGGCAGCGGCTCCGCGGGACTGAGATTGCTGCGGCCGCCGGCGCCCCTTGCCTCCCCCGCGCAGCTCCCGCCCCAGCCGCGAGCGCCGCCCCGCCCCAGCCTCAGAGTCCGAGAAGCCCCTCCCGGGAGCGCGGTGGCGGGGGAGGGTTGGGGGAGGGGGCTCCGGGCGGAGGAGGGCCCTTGCGCGCCCAGCCGGAGCGGGGCTTGGACTGAGGGGGCGGGGAGAGAAGGTGGAGCGCGGGGAGAGCCGGGCGAGGGGCAGCGACGAGGGGACTCCATTAGCCGCTCCGGCCGGGAGGCAGAGCTTCCCCGGTCTGAGAAGATCACGAATACCGTCGTCCCGCGAACCGCTGTCCTCCCGCCTGTTGCGTGAGCCCCAGGCTGGGAGCGCGAGGAGCGCGCGGTGAGGGGCCAGGTTCTTGGGTGGTAGCTGAGGGGGAGCGCGGGTGGGGACGAAGAATGTTGAGCCCGCGAGCAGCGTCTCCCAGGCCGGGTGCGGCGGGCAGGTGAAGCCCGCCGTGGTCCGCTAGGCGGGCGCGGGGCGGGTGGTGGCGCAGCGTTCGCGGAGGGCCGCCTCCGGGAAGGGGTTCGGGGCGCAGTCCTGCCCGCTGCTTAGCGGTGCTGCCGCTCTTTCCCGAGTTCGCTGGGAAATTCTCGTGTCCTCTATCTTCTCCTAACCCCACGGCGCACTCTAAATTTGGTGAGATTTGTCTTTCTTTGGGGGAGTGACGCTTACGAGAGCCATTTCCTCAGCGCTCGCAGGAAGGAGCCATGGCTCTGGACGGGATAAGGATGCCAGATGGCTGCTATGCGGATGGGACGTGGGAATTGAGCGTCCATGTGACAGACCTGAACCGCGATGTCACCCTGAGAGTGACCGGGGAGGTTCACATCGGAGGGGTGATGCTCAAGTTGGTGGAAAAACTCGGTGAGTATGGTCCCAGCTGTCTCAAAAGTAACGACTTCCTAGGCTTGGGGGGGGGCAGGCTAGGAAAGCCATTTACGGCGGGGGGAGGGGTGGATTTGGAACTCTAAGCATCTCGCATATATGTTTTTTTTTTAAATGTAAATCGTTCCATATTTAGATCTTTCTTGTTTTGTTACTCCCTGAAATTTTCATAACGTCGTGATTAAAATCTTCCAAATATAAACGTAATTGCGTCATTGAGAGAGAAAATTTAATTCTTTACGATCTCTTAGTTCACATTAAAAGAAATGAGAAAAGTGTGCTAGTGAATGTTGGGAGGGTGGTGGGCCAGGCTGTGGCTGTGCGTTACTTATTTTCAGTGTACCTGGTTGTTGATGACTTTTGGTATTGGGGATGAGGTAAAAGTCTATTTAAGAATAAACTGTTAATGAAAATGTGCAACTTCTGGGGTTAATAGGAAATTACTATACTTGTACTACGACGTGATGGAGTGTATTTAAATGTTGCAGTCATCCAGCCTTACAAGGGGTGGGTGGGGCAGTACTTGACAAACTTGGTATCAATAATCCCTTGAAGGACGCTATTTCCATTTTAATAACAAGCTAGTGATAAAACTTTGTATTAAAAAGCAGATTTTCTTAGTTCGAGATTGATCGTATTTGCTTGAGTACAAATATATACTATAGATCTGACACAGCTGTAAATAATGAGTATCCTACATGAAGGATAAGAAATTTTTGCCCTACATACTTTGTTCTTGATGGATAAAAATCCATTTTCAGCTGGGAAAATCAACTAAAATGATTAGGAAGGTGATCTTATTATAGAAAGTGCTCAGAGGACTGTCTTCCTGGTCTCTGTGCATTTGGTACTAAATGCAGCCGGGAGAAGGTAATGTTTTCTTAAGCCTTTTTTTGGGGGGTGGGGGGGGCAGGGTTATGTTTTAAAATATACCATTTATTTTTCAAGTCACTATGGAAAAGTAGAGAAGTTGTTATGTCAGGAAATGGTTATCTTAACTGAAGTAGTGTTTTATACCTACTGCAGTAACTTACTGAATGCTCCTTTGCAAAATAAGCAGAGTTCAATTAGGTAGACCTGCTTTGTTGGCCCTTGCAGGATTAATTATTGAAGGACCAAAGAGTAGATTCTTACAAGGTTGCCTCTCCCTTAAGACTGTGCATTGTTAGGATCCCTGAAACATACATAGCCCAGGAAGGAGAGCCCTCCTGGGTAGCCTTTTGAAAATAAGATTTCTCTGTATTGTTAAGACAGTTACCTGTTGGGTAACATTGTTCTGATACGATTTGATTAAATCAGTCATTCTTTGCAAGATGTTTATGGATTTTTTTTTCCTCCAGAATTGGTGTGGAATTATTTAATGGAAAAAAAATCAAATGTAATGTTTATTTCCTTTGTTTTCAAAGGAAACAAGTGTATCAGAGATTGCTTTATATATGATTAATGCTATTCAATAGGAGATTTTTTTATATTGCAAAAAAAGAGTTGTTGAAGGTGACTGAGGTAGCTTGTAGTTCTTAAAAGCCAGGTTTTATCTGATGAATAAATAATGGCTTACACTATATTTATATTGTATTGATTAGAATTGTTTATTACAGGTCCCAGTCACAAATAGTAATAAATAGAAAAAACTATTAGGATTTATGTTAATTTTTTAAGTGACTATAATCCTAATTTTTTAATGCTGACGGAGTTAAAAATTTGTTATGCAGTGAAAGAAGCCCAGTGAGGTAGGAAATGCTGTGCATATGGAAACCTTACATCTTCCTTTTTTTGTTGTTGAGAATATACACAACAAAAATATACACCAATTCAAGTTTCCACATGTACAGTTCAGTGACACTGATTACATGCTTAGAGTTATGCAGCCATCCTCACTCACCCTTCTTTTCTGCATTGGTCCTCCCCCGTTAACATAAACTCACTGCCCCCTAATGTTCCTGTCTAATCTTTCCAGTTGTCAGTTTGATCCCATGTACATGGGTCTTAAGGAGCATAATGCTTAAGGACTTGAATTTTTCTTGAATTGAACCAGTACTGATCTTTTGTGTATTATGAGTTCTAATTAGAAAGTTTTGGGGTTTTTTTCAGTATAATTCAGACTTTACTGCTTTTGTAAAAGTAGAGCTTATCAATAAGACTTTTGGCCCCTGGTTTTAGGATACAAAAAAACCTGAACCCACTGTTGTCAGCTCTGACTCATAGCAACTCTGCAGGTAGACTGCTCCATAGGATTTCCAAGGCTGTAAATCTTTATGGAAGCAGACTTGCTACATCTTTCTTCCACAAAGTGGCTGGTAGATTCAAACAGCTGATGACCTTTCAGTTAGCAGCTGAGCATTTAACCACTGCACCACTAGGGCTTCCTGGTTTTGGTATAGATAGTCTGAATTGTACACTATTTTGTTACCTGTTGGCAAGTAAATAGAGGAGAAATTCAGTAGGGCAGCATTTAAGACTTCCTCAAACCAGGCTTACCAAATTAGAAAAGAATTTTGTGATTCTTGAGCTGCCTAAATCTAGAATGGCCTGTGAGTTGTGTCACTGAAGGTGTTAAAGGGCAGACTGGATGGCTGTTTACCAACAGTGGCTATCGTAGATCACAGCAGCCTTCAGTCTAGATGGTAAGAGGGGAGACCACAGGAGGGATGAGAGGGCACAGGGTCTTGTGTCTTACTGGATTGTAGAGCAGTGATGGACAGTTAGGCTACTGTGGCCTTGGAACAGTTAGAACTGTAAGTACAGCAGCATTCATCTGTCTTTTAACTCCACATCTTAAAAACTGCATCTCTAATAAACCTTATTCTCATCAGAGAGTATATGGATACCAAAAGCATTATGTTTGAAGACTGTCTTCTCATTTAATGTTCAACGGCAGCAATAATTTCCCTGGGGTTGATAGATCCTGTAATGATCCCTTTTAAACATTATATTAAAATTGTGTGCGTGCGTGCATGCATGTGCATATGTGTTTGCACCCATGTGTGTGCATGCATACAGATGTAGAACTTTCTGGAAAGAGCCTTCTTAGCTTTCATTAGATTCTCAAAGAGGTCTCTTTGGTCAAGAAAGCTTGCAACACAAAGCTATAATTTTGAGAGTTCTTTAATTAAGTATGCCAAAAAAGTAAATAATGCTTTTTAGTATGGGTCAGCAATATCTTTGTATTTAGTTAGAATTTTATATAGAACTTTTGTACTTCTGTCAAGGTTATTAAAACATGATTCTATGATTTAAAGATCGTATTTAAAGATCTGAACAGTCCCTTTAAATAATTAATATAAAATAAATTATTCTACATTAATCTTTTAAAAGAAAATAAAGCTATGAGGAAGTAGGCTTTAGGGAATTATATCCTTTTTATCTATTAAGAATCCTAACTGAAAGCTTTAAATAGAATCTTAGAATTTTATTGCATTTTTTGTGTCTAACAAACATTTTAAACAAATGTACACATTATATTTTTTATTGAAAAGAAACTACAAAGCAACAGGGATAGGGATAAGGATTGTAAAGTATAAGACATGGGAATAAGATGGTAAAATAAAAAGAGGCCCAATTTATGGGATTCCTTGATATTTCTCTGGAGAAATAGTAGAGAAAACCATTCTACTTGATGGCATTCAGATCTTATCATTAAAGACTTTAGATATCAAAGAGGTGCTTAGTTTTAATTTTCAGTGGATTTATTTCACTGCCTTCCAGTGTTACTTTATAAAAATAATCTTTTTGTAAGTTTCTGTGTATAATCAAATTTTTACCTTTCTAAACAATTACGTTTTAGATGGAGAACAAGGAATTTCTTATAAAATAGAACTCACTGAATAGGCGCCTCTAGCCTTTATGAACTTGGATGGTGACTAGGCTACATGATTTCAAGTTGGAAAATTTAGTAGTAACTAAAAGGAAATTTATGCAGTTGACTTAGAACATTTGAGGAATATGTTTCTGAATGTAGTAGCCTTTAGAAAGAAATTGTCCTTGCTTTAAAGTATGTTCTGTCCTTGTCATAATAATGAAATAAAATCTATTTATATTGGGATATATTTTATCATTTAGTTTACGAAGTTAGCACACAATGACCCCCCCTTGCAAAAAAAAGAAAAGTTTTAGTCAAAACTAAAATCCTTTAAAGTGCCCATTATTATGTATGGAACATTCACTCCATCATTGCACAGAAGTGCACAATTGCTAATTCTTCCCTCTTCAGCATTGGAACAGAGAGAAACTTCTCTAGCTTAGCACCAGATGGAGAAGTTGGCTTATATTAAGGGCTTTGTTATACAAAAAATACTTGAAACACTAAGATCAAAGCTTTGGCAAGACACTAACAGGGAGAGGCATATATGTCACTGGACAGTTCCCTTTTTATACTCCTGTTTCTTTCTCTCTGAGGAAGCCATATACTTATTTAGTATGATGGTGCCTATACTGTTGAAATTATTAATATTTTCCCCTGAGGGCTTTGGTTGAATTCATAGAAATTAAATGTCTAAATGATGTACTTTCACTTCATTTAGAGTGAAAAATATATATTAAGATGATAAATTTAAAAAATACATATTTGAAAAAAGAAGAAATATATATATATA